GGGTGGTCGCAAGATCATTGCTAATATACTGTAATTTTCTAACACCCAACATTCCTCTCTCCATAAACAGTTGCATCCACTGCTACTTTGATTTCTTTTACGACAGTAAAACCGTGACATCTTAACTCGACATATATTCAAAAATTTTGCAAAATGGCAAAAATTATCAAGTCTGCTGGGCGTTCAGTGTGATAATCCAATATTAGTGATGCTACTGAAATGTTTTCACACTAGAGATAGCTGTTCCAGGTTGTACTTGTCTGAGTTAGATATCTTCAACTTAATATTGATTTACATACTGGTAATGAGTTTTTTGAAAAAAAAAACTAGAATACAAGGACATATTGATTTTACAGTTACTCAGAAGCAGCTAAGCAGCTCCAGCAACAGCTGCTCCATTATCCGCATAACATTACGCAGCTCTTCCTGGACTGGATCCAATATGCAGCCGAATTTGGCAGATCGCTTGATTCCAACTTGTACGGAGCTAATCTCAGCACAATTGCCTATTTTTCAATTGACGTCATCGCATTTATTTTATTTTCATTCTGCTGTTTTAGTGCCATTATTATTTTAATTTTATGCTGTGCCTTCCAAAAAACACGGAATTTTGTCCAGAAATTGAAAAGTGAATAAAACGATAGAATGAATTACTGCATTCCATCCATACGGATCTTATGAGAAAAAATGTAACTGTCATCACGATTTCCAAACCTAGCAAAATCATTATAGATCGATCATTGTAAATCAATAGCTCAGCAAGCTTACTAGTGCATCCATGTTTTTTTACGTGATTCCTCCTTGCAGAGAAATCGTCTGTACTAGAGTGTGAGTTGTGGTGTTGCACTGAATATTTTTTGTTCTATAATAAAACTGGCATAAAGCTCAGTTTTGACTCTTACGCTACGCGTCTTCTAAAATATCTCGAAAACGAGGCGCAAAACTTCGCACTCTCTAGGGTGCACGTCAGTAATCCACTCTGGAACCTGTTTTAGCTCGTTCAGTCATCTTCCCCTTTTTCTCTCCCCTTACAACAAAAAACCGTGCTAGTCTAATCTCAAAAAGTGCTTTCTTGTTCTCTTTTCTTTTGACCTAAACTTTATCTAATTTTGACTACAAGAGTACTGCTTAAGATTTTGCCTTCAAAAGGATTTAGAATAAAGTTAGCTATCGTTAATTGTAAAAGTATTTTTTGCATTTTTTTTTTTTGTATTTATTTAGTTTAAGATTTTGCCTTCAAAAGGATTTCGAATAAAGTTAGCTATCGTTAATTGTAAAAGTATTTTTTGCACTTTTTTTGTATTTATTTAGTTTAAGATTTTGCCTTCAAAAGGATTTTGAATAAAGTTAGCTATCGT